ATATATATATATATATATATATATATATATATATATATTTACGTTTTTAGTAATATTAGATTATATATTTTCTGGCTTGTCAAGTCGCCTTGATTGATCTCGGAATTTCATTATCGATACCTATATTCCTATACAAATACGCAATCGTTCAACAGAAATGCAATTTTCTGTTCGCAGAATTCTTGAAGCACGCTCCGTGCATGCAAAAATCCAAAGCCGAGTACGAGATGTGTTACAAATCATACCAAAAGACGACTCAAGAGATAATGACCAACCGTTCGTTGGGACATCAAAATCTCAAATCTCTGTGCTGGTAAGTTGAAAAGAAGATTTTTTTTTTACGATGTGCATTTTTTGTGCGAAAAAATAAATGCGTGCGAAAAAATAAGTGCGAAAATAAACGCAATACCGATGATTGACCGTGTCAGTTGCTATTAATTTTAAAGATAATCGGAAATAGTTAGGTTGAGAGGCGAAAGAGTAACATAAATATAGTGTGGAACTATATTTTTTTTCGAGAGATCTGATTTTATTACATAAATAAAATGATTAATGTCGTATTATACAATTTACGTCGTATCAAAACCTATGTATACACGTACACTTGACCGGAATTTCTACATCTTTGCAAATAGGATGCAACTCACAGTCCATTTGCTTATCCGAGAAAGTTTGTTAGCTCGGCAACGCGGAGGTAAACCTTAGAACTCAAAGCGCGAGTCAATTTGACCTAGCCACTTTTCAAAATGTAGACGCTATCTCGACTTATCCGAACATGCCTATTAACTTTGCCGCGTGAGAATAAAATAATATCAGACCTGTATCAGTTCTACGAAACAAAAAAAAATTATGTAATAATTTAACGGATCAAACAGAGATTTACTTGCTTAAAAAAGAAACAAATTGATTTGCACTAATAATTTTATTATCAATTAAAAGCCATATCGAATCGTAGGTCGAATTGTATTTGATTAAAAGTTATTGGATTTTATAACTTTTATAATAATTTATATCCTTTTAAAAAGATTCGATCTGTACGTTTAGTATCTCGCGAAAACCGAATTAAAACGCGAAGAGGAAGAAGAAGAAGAAGAAGAAGAAGAAGCATCGAGTACAATGTTAAGTCGTCAACGCGCTGCATCCTCGTATTTCGAGTACGACGATCCCCCGGGGGATTGATCAGCCCTTTTCTCTCGGATCGGCATTAAATCTAAGGGAAAAATCGAGTTAAGATATGACGACGTGAAAGATCGGTACGGGGCAAAGGCCCGGGGCACGGACAAATGGGTTTAAGCAATGCTCGAAATTCCAGCGTTTCGCATTAGCGCAAAGACGTAAAATCCTTCGACTGTGATAATTTAACACTTAAGAGCTCGCCGGCGAAACAACTGCATTAATAACGACGGGCGTCGCTCAAAGGACTCGCGCAAAAAGAGTGTAATCAGTCCTTTAGGTCGGAAGTTTCACGCTGATGCCTGTACAGACACACAGGGGGTGTAATGTCATTAGCGTATCTCTACCACGGTCTACTGCAGCTTTTGAACTTGCGCATCTCTCGCAAAGAGGGGACGTAAGTAGTACGATGCTGACCCGAAACTGGATAACAGGTCCGCAAAAACACATTCCTCGCGTCATTTTGTTTCCTCGTGATCCAATTAAACCACCGGTCACAGGTGCTCTCCTCCGGAGGGAGGGAAAGCTTGCTCTACGGGGGGAAAAACCGGACGAATCGCGAAAAAGACGAACGGGAATTTATCTCGCGAAGTTAAACGAGTTTCGAATATCTCTGAAATACAATAAAATTGACACTGGCAAAATTGAAAAAAAAGAAAGAACAAGATGTGACATAGGAAAAAATTTAATTTTAAATCAGGATTATATATCATATTCTCGTATATGAGCAAGAATATTATGATATTTAATATAATTTTTATATAGAAGATTTTTATTCTTGAGTTGAGCAGAAGTAATACTTGCACTCAATGCAAATTCAATCGAATCAAGATTAAAATTTTTACGAAAAGATTATAATATTGCCGATGAAAATATTTATCCTGATTTAAGATTAATATTTTTTGTGTATCTTCAATAATTTTGATAATAACGATAATGATATCTGTGTAAGGTTCAATTGTAATTCGCAATTGTTGTGTATTCGCTGACAGTTTTATCAGCTTTGTAACAATGAAGCATATATTTTGTTTTAGAAAAAAAAAAAATTTTAAACAAAGTTTGGAATATTCTCTGTGCAGCGCCTTCCAGGAATACTTGGAATGCTCTCATCATACGGTACGCCGTCAGTGTGGCGATGATACAGCCCGATTCACGAAAGAGTTCCTCGACAGAATGTCAAGCTCACTGCTAAAGGTGAGTACTATGCATATTTCATTTGACACGTATTCCATTGACATCGAAAATATATGTTGAAATATCGAATTAATTATTCCGTTTTGTTAACATCGCGCGACTGAATTTTGACCTTTGAATAAAAATATTGATCGTTTGATCTATTTCGAATAAATACGGATATTAATTTTTATATCTTTCAACGAATTTGAAATGTTTTTCTGGATATAATTTTCGTCGTCGTTATGTTTCTGATATTTGATAATTTAATGAAAATATTTTGACGGATCAAAGTAAGTTAACTCCTTGTTTTCATAAGAAAATATAAATTAATCTATGGATCTGTTTTCTTCGTTTTCCACAGCGAATCAACACTGTTTTAGTAATTGGAAGTAAATTAATCAATTGGTCTTTGATTATTCGCTAATTCTGAATCTAATTTTTCTAAATAATAAAATAATTATTGGAGCTAAAGAAGAGAAACGTGATCACCATTCTAACAAATGATCAGCTTAGCAAGTAGTAAGCTCGATAACGAAGCCGACCGAGTATTAAAGGAAGGGCGAATCGTTTGTCTTGTTTGTTACAGGCGCACTGTGCGCCCTACACGGAATGCACCGCCGCATACAGCGGTACCTCTATTCCAAATCTTTCCGCCGTTATGCCAATGACGCTTATTCTCCTTATGAGGTACTTTACGTAATTGGCCTCGGCCAAGATTATTTTTTTATCTTCGGAAGATAGAAAACGGGGAAGCGAGAGAGAGGAAGGGATTCACAGAGAAAGGGAATCGCAGAAGAAGAATATGGAGGGACGACGAGGAGGAGGAGGAGGAGGAGGGCGCAGGAGTTTTCTAGAACGCGAGAAACGCAGGAAGCCCATTCGGCTTTTATTGTGCTTTGCTTCAGAGGGAATATATTCCTTATTTTCTTATTATGATGAATTCTTCGGGGAAGGGCCGAAGACGAGGCCGAAGCGATCAAAGAGAAGCAAGAAGGGAAGAGAGTATCGGAGCGAAAGGAGATATTCAAGAGCGGGAAAGATACGCGGCGTTTTCTTTCTCCAAAGAGGATATATCTTTCATTTGCATGATGATGATGATGATGATGCGCGAGATCGCAATAATCACGATTACGGAAGCAAACAACGGAGGATCAGTATTAAGAACCGAAAGGACGACGGAGGGAGGCGGGGGTAGGATACTTTAGAAATACGTTACGGAAGAGCGAAAAGAGAAGAAAGCGAGATCGCAGAGGAGAGGATTTTCAGGACGGTTCTCTTCCACGTACCGTTGCGGCGTTATCGCGAACTGGACGACAAGAGAGGAGGATAGCTTTGCTTGATCGCCTCGATGCGATCCGCTAGTCTGTAAACCGCCGCGCAAGACTGACTCGATTTTTGCGCGGTTTTGTCGCGAGATGAGAATTGACATAAAAATACTCCTTATTAACTCGGCGAGTTTCTTCGCGGGCTGTTTCCGGCGCGAGGTACGCGAGGGTAGAATCTGATTCTCGGGAACACGTGTGGCATTTTGGATGATCGACGAGAAAGGCGGCAGAAGTAAGAGATTTATAGCGAGACGAGAGGCAAACGGTGTCTTTCCGTGTCACGTTTTCGCTCCGATCTCGAAGAGGAGCGTTTGTGCGGAACGAGCGAACTATCGTCCTGAAATCAATTTCGTCGAATAATCGCGATCTACCGATTCGCGAAAATAGCGCCAGAGCGAAGCAAGAATCGACGATTCTAAGTATAGCGAAGAATTTCCGCTCGATCGGAGAGCAGCGGATAAAATCGTAGTACGTTCCTTTGCGCGTGAGAAGGAGAGAGAGAGAGAGAGAGAGAGAGAGAGAGAGAGAGAGAGAGAGAGAGAGAGAGAGAGAGAGAGAGAGTAGAGTAGAGTAGTAGTAGTAGTAGTAGTACGTACGTACGTACGTACGTACGTACGTACGTACGTACGTACGTACGTACGTACGTACGTACGTACGTACGTACGTACGTACGTACGTACGTACGTACGTACGTACGTACGTACGTACGTACGTACGTACGTACGTACGTACGTACGTACGTACGTACGTACGTACGTACGTACGTACGTACGTACGTACGTACGTACGTACGTACGTACGTACGTACGTACGTACGTACGTACGTACGTACGTACGTACGTACGTACGTACGTACGTACGTACGTACGTACGTACGTACGTACGTACGTACGTACGTACGTACGTACGTACGGTACGGTACGGTACGGTACGGTACGGTACGGTACGGTACGGTACGGTACGGTACGGTACGGTACGGTACGGTACGTACGGTACGGTACGGTACGGTACGTACGTACGTACGTACGTACGTACGTACGTACGTACGTACGTACGTACGTACGTACGTACGTACGTACGTACGTTACGTTACGTTACGTTACGTTACGTTACGTTACGTTACGTTACGTTACGTTACGTACGTACGTACGTACGTACGTACGTACGTACGTACGTCGCGCGCGGGGGGGGGGGGAGGGGGGGGGTCCGAACTTGTAACTTTCTAATATTTGCGAGATGAGACGAGTACCCGAAAGTTTGAAGAGTCGCTTTTTAATTTCATCGTCACAGCGGTTGTAGGTCCTTTTAAAAAAATAGTTTTTTAAAATTCCTTCTCCATCACAGGATTGCATGCAGAATCGCACGAGAAATTTTGCGCAATTGAAAATAACCGAGATAATTAGGAACGGTAGAAAGGATCATCCTCACGGTGAAAATCTTCCGGTGAAAATATAATTCCATCTAAATAATACTCGTATTCGCGTGCATGTAACATTTGCGAGATGTTGGTCGTAGTCGAGTGAAACAGACGGAGCTCGGACGGAGGTTTCTAAGGCCACTTGCGGTGCATTTGACATGTTTGTTCGAGGCATGCCGGTTTGTACAAATTTCAACGTGTCACACGAAATCCTAGCTAGAGCCGGATACGGATGAGTCTATATTTTTCTGAGATCTGATGTAGTGTTGTACGTGTTACCTATGAAAAAGACACACGCGCATGATCGCGACTGTACTCGCTGCACAAATGATAGTATTAGCACTTTGCATTGTCGTGTCTTAATTATTAAGTAGGTGGAACGAGAGGGAAAGAACTGAATGACTGAGAGCGGGCGTGTGTGGCCATTATTGTATTTTCATGTCGTATCGATTTTCATGGCGTTTACCGTCAAGGTATCGCGCCGTCACATTGAATACTTGTGCGTTGTATTATATATTTAGATAAATTTTATTAAGACAAAGTTTATTTATGTGTTAGAAATATTTCGAGGAGGGGCATACTTAAACGTTTCAAAAACTATCGAAATGTTCGGCAAAAGAGCTAGCGCTCGCTAGCACGCTTTTTACCCGGCAAAAGCCATTTTTTTTTTTTTTTAAACAGGAAGATAACTCGATTAACTGAAAACTATGCCGACGTGTTTGTTACATTACGGTCCACGTCGTAAATAATTAATTGTAACCAATTGTTTGGTTTATGAGTTATTATAAAATCCATATGAGAAAGTCACGGCGTTTAATCAAACGTGTCCCATTCATGCAATTATCGATATTTCTCTATTATCCTGCGCGCCGCGCCATTCGGAATATAATGCAGATTAATAATCTAGAAATTAAATTCCCTTCAACAGGGAGTACGTTTATCGATAGCCTCGCCTGTATATGTGTGTGTATAATGCGTACTCGATGTCGACATCATTTGTAATTTATCATTTCCTAGAGAATTCGCTTTTAACGGCACAATGTGTTAAAACGAATGGCGAACCTTTTTTTCGTAGGGGGAAAAAAAAGAGAGAGAGAATACGTTCTTTTTTTTTTTTTTTTTTCTTTTTATTACGTTCCCCGATAATTGTGTCTCTCGTTTCGTTTCGGGAGAGGCACGCCGTGGTATGCAAGCACGAGCAGAGATAATTTATTTGTAATATATAGCTAATTAAGGAGGCACTGTAAATATCATCGAGCTGTCGAGCTTAAGAGAATGTAAGATAACTTAAATACATTCACAATAAAATCCATTATATTTTTATTTTAAGAAAAGAGAGAGAGAGAGAGGAGAGAGCTCTGCATCGGTCCCCCGTTAATCCTAACATTGTCTCGCGACAAGCTACTCGGAGCGCGACGCAGGAGCTGCGCACGGCGCATTGTGCATAGCGCGTAAGTACACGCGCGCTCGTGTCGGAGTCTCGTAAAGTAATAATAAGCTCCCTTCAACCCTTTCCCCCCCCGGCGGTGGTGATACAGGCGTTCCTCCGGGGACGATGCATCGTGATAGACGCGCAAATACCGACGAAAGCCGACGACCCGCGGTGCAGCCAGCCAGCCAGCCAGCCAGCCAGCCAGCCAGCGCGCGCCGTAGATGCGATGTCGATAAATGACGGATTATAGAATTTACCGGATTTCGCTTGATTATATTCAGGCTTTTGGTCTTGCGAGGTATCGTACCGAGTAAAATATATTTTGCGTGAAACGAAGATGAAACGGCTTTGCTTGGAAATAATTATTTTAGCTTCTTTCCGATTCTACGCGCGATTATATACACATTACGCTGCAACGATTACCGATGAATGCAATTTGGCGCGACGCGCTTTTTATCTAATTTTAAAATATCCTTCCGCGCGTACTACTTTTTGCGCGTACTACTTTTTCATGTAAAGTGATGCCTTTATTTTTCACGTTGGAACTACGATCCTATTTGAAATTCCGAAAGATAAGTTTACGACGAGGAATATTTTCTTTTACTTAAGAGACTTGTTTAACAGCAGCAATCGAACTGCCGGGAAGAAAACATGCTCCGAAAAGAGGTAAGGTAAGTTCACATTTATGTATTAAACTTTTTAGCTAAACGCCAAACGACTTTTCTTCTAAATTACCAGCAGGATACAACTGCAGGATACTACAATGTTTTAATTAAAAAATTAAAAAAATTATTGGAGATTTTGGCAGATTAAAGATGAAAAGATGAAAAGATAAATCGTATTACGATCCGTTTTCTTCATTTATTATCGCGCGCTCTTTTATTCTTTCTTCAAAAAAAATATTCTCTCTTTCCCGTTTTTTCCCGTCTTGAAAACAAAGACAAGCTATTCTCTTACGTACATAACGAAGAGCGTTCCGACTTAACAAGAGTTTGTTTATTGAATTGTCGATTGATAGACTTGAATATTCGGCATGACCAGGTGATATTTCGTAACCGGTTGAATATTTTGTTTCGTTTTTGTGGATTTGTCCCTGACCGAACGTTTGTTATCACTACGCGCGGCCTTGTTTACGATCGGCTTCTGCGACGAAAGGCACATGAGTCGCTGAGTCGTTTCCGGGCCGTTGTGTGGGGAAGACGTGTCTCGTTCTAAATATTTTCGCTATCGCGCATTTTCGCCTTCATTTTTCTATTTCGATATTATTTTGCCATTATGCCTATTGCTCAGCGCGTTCTTTGATTAGTTAACGGTTAGGATCACGGCCAGTTTAAAAAAGAGAAGAAGTATACTTCGCCGCGTTACGTTTTATCTTTATATTTACGTTTTACCATTTCTCCAATTTTTTGCCAGATATTTCTGGCTTTTTGAGACAGTTTTCGGCAGATGAGAATAATCTCCGGAGGATCATTTTAATAGTGATAGTGACTTAATAGTTAGATTTAATATTTTCGATTTGCACATATTTTCGAATTTTGATAGCTACGACAGCGATTAATAATGTCGTACAACCTGTGCTTTGCATTACTAAAGTTAGTGATTTAACTGATTTTAATCATATTTGATTAGATTGTTTAATTTTTCAGAAAGATTTATCGGAAACATTAATTATGTGAAGATTATTTCACTAAATATATTAATAATTTGATAAATATATTAATAATTTCGCTAAATATATTAATAATTTGATATTTTACATTTTTTCTTTACATTTTTTTTTCAAACCCAATTTATTTATGATATATCTTGTTAAATCTTGTTTAATCAATTTTGACCGATTCTAAAATTCATTATAATAAAAAACGTTATAAATTTGAATAACTTTTGTTCAGTTAATTTAATTCGTGATTCATTCTTTCTGGCTTTGAATGAATCTCCGATAAAATGTTTTATTTTAATGACTTTTTTCGGAAAGAATAATATAACAAAAATGACAATTTTGAAGATGCCGAATATGCCAATAAACTTTATGAGTTATTGCGTTTTACAGTTCCATGTTTTTTTCTGTCATTTGAAATACCGGTAAAACACTGCTCTGAAGGCGGCAATTATGATTACGTCCCGAGACGTAATCGAGACGAGAATTTGCCGACTGTTGGGTCGTATCATTTTTCATAATTAACAATTAGTTACTAGTTAGTAGTATGACCCACCATTCCTGTGATTCGCAAACGCAAAGTAGATATCTCGCGTAGCATACTTCGTTAAAGTAAGGATTTTACAAGGGAAGTTCCTGTAAAATTCAAAAAAATCTGAAACTTTGCATAAATATAGAGTTAAATGGATCTATTCATATAATAATTTTTCATTGCTGCTGATAAACGCTTTTAGGATTGGAAACATGAAAAAAAAAACGATTTTATGTTAAAATATTCTTTGCAATTAAATTAGAGTATATTTCACATCAAATTCAATCATGTATTTAAATGCAGTTTCAGATTTTTTCAAACTTTTCAAACTTGTTAATAACAGAAAAATTATCATTCTTTATGGATTTTCTCAGGTCGACACGCCTTGACATTTGTATGTTTCACTTCGAGTGTAACTCGCATTAAATGTTTTGTTTTTATACCTACTGAATCGAACCATTAAATAAAAA